ATTAGAGTACTGAAGAAAAGTACACCTTTTTTTTTTAGCTTGTCTAAAAAAAAAAAATATCGTCTTCTATAATTAGAAAATAATTTCACTTTAAAATTATCATTTTACCCTTACTAAAATAATTAGTCACATAAATATCTAAGATTTTTCGGGTCAAAAATTTTAAAATTAAAAATCTTTCTTTCTTTCTTAAATTTTTTTTTTGTGTTAAGTCAAACGATATCGAAGAATATTTATGCATTGATGTACATAGGGTATATAAAACTCAAAAAAGGTGGGGAAAATCAATAAGAAACTAGGAATAGGAGTAAGTAAATAAAAAGAGACAGATGATATGCCATTTGGTTATTCTTAGGTCATGCTATACGTTGCAGACGTGATTTATAGTTGCCAGATCAATGATGGCCACTAGACAGTTATTCCCAGCTACTCATCATTCATTTGAATATACAATTACTCCTCTTTTTCAATTTACATTTTTTTCAGTAACATTTTACATACATATTTAAAATTATATTTTTATTTTCTTAAATATCATGTTCAGTTAAACTAAGACGTATAGAATAGACGTAGGGAATAATTGAGTTTTGGTTCGATCCTTTGCCGCAAGTTCCACCGACCCGGCCCTATACTGAAAATAATGTTTGAAACTTTTTTTTTTGGCACCTTTATCAAATGCATCGATAAAAAGCTAATGAATTGGATTCCGTATCCAACTTTTCTTTTCCTCTCGACGTTTAGTTATTTGTAGTTTTCAGTACTTGTTTTTATTTTATACTAGAGCATTATTATAATAAATGATGAAAATAATATAGGGCTGCAGTCCAAAATCAGATTAAAAGTGACATTGGCCAAACTATAACGACTAAATTGGCCAATTTGTCAATGCCAAATTAAACAGTATATACGTAGTATTACAGCCATGCTACCTATAATTGTACTATATACGCTAGCTAGCCCTAGCCTAGCCCCAATGATATATATGATCAATTGATCATTTAAGACTTACATTGGATAATTGGGAAACTAAAAAGAGTAAATCGGCTTCTATACAATACCTTACAAACTGCATAGAAGATGCAAATAACATTAGATAAATTCGGTGTAACGAGTTTGACTGAGAGGGTGTTGGGAGGGAGAATTGAAAATGACACAAAGTTCGTAATTTTTTGTTTACTAGAAATTGATGTTGACCCTTATTATGAAAAATATAAACTTGCGTCAATCTAATGAGAAATTGAATACTTACATATCATATTTGATTGCAGATTGAGTAACCTAGTATTAAGCATATCTATAGGGTGGGGAATAAAGTTGCTTATGGATATGTAGTACAAAGTACTAACTTTTGTTGCCAAAAAGGAAAAAATAAATCAACAATTAAGACTTTTCCTGCTGAAGGTGTTGTAAGAGACAAAAGGTCAGTGTTTAGAAATTAATTAAAACTGGGAAAGGAACCACATATAGCAGCTTATTTCTTGATCAAATCTTGACTGATTAACTTATACTATATGATATCTGGTAATACTATAAGTCTTAATTATTAAACTTTTACACACCAGTTGATTTTATTTGGCTTTTAATTCAAAAAAAAAATGACATGAATTTCAAATAATCAATAAGAACTCTTTTTAAAAGGGTTATGAAATACGATTAGTTCTAACAAGAAAATATTTAGTTATCCTCGTATGGTGTTTACTCCAAATCAAGCAATTCTCGATAGAATTCTACTTTGCCCATCCCATTTTATGTGACAAGATGATCAAATTATCAATATAAATTTAACATATTTAGATATTATATAAAAAAGGATTATAAATCCTACAATTTTTAAATTACGATCAATTTTTTTCTAATCACTTTAAATAATATTGTGCCACCTAAATTAAGACAAACTATTTAATATGTCATCATTGTCTAAACTATGATAGCAATATACAATTGCTATAATTAGGGAAAGAAATATTTGTATGTATGTTTCTACATAGAAAAATATATTGCATTCTCATGTCATGACTCTGCATGTCGGTAGGTTAAAAAAACTCACCTCATTGGAAGCATCCAGTAAAATTGCTTTAATGATTAAATATGTTCAGAAAAAAAGGAAAAATTTACCAACTCTGACTGCAATCAGAAAACATTATGGTCAGGCATATTTCCTTTTCGATAATTAATGTAATTAGTTACACAACCCATATGAAGAAGAAATTGCTAGTGAGTACTCCCTCCGTCTCATTTTATATGTCACATTCTTACTTTGCACTTACATAAAGAAATGATGTAACTTTACCCTTTTACCCTTATTTAATTTTTTTGGAACTCAAGTTTTCAATCAATGAATATAAATTAATTTATTTTGATTAATTAATTTAACCAATGAACATGAATCATTTTCTTAACTTTTCTAAGTTGGTCAAATGTATATTTTCAATGCTAATAACTCACAAAGGTAAAAAAAGAACAATATGCAAATTTATGCATTGATTTTATGAAATGACAAGTACGAGTATTATGGATCAACTATTTATAGAAAGGGATGACATATAAAATACTCGCTCCGTCCACAATTATTTGGCAGGTATACTAAAAATAGATGTCCAAGATTAATTGTCAATTTAAACAATCAAGAAACAATTAATCACCTTTTTCCAATTCTGCCCTTAATGATAGTTTAGTTCAATTGAAAAGTTATGTAGACTTTTGGTATTCTTGGTATAATAGGGTTATATTAGTCAAATTGCACCTTCTATTAAATTTTCCTTGAAGGGTGTGCATGACCTTACCCTGACAAACAATTGTGGACGGAGGGAGTAAGACGCAGGGAGTATAATTTATTCCCAGTCATTTATAAACTATAGCTTTCTCATAAAACAATTTACTCCCCTTGAGATATTTCCCAAGCTCCTCTTTCAATCTGTCGGTTAAATGAAATGCCTCAAAACAAAATAATCTGATTTGGAAAAGGAATCTTAATAGCATAGTCGATGAATTTTCATTTAATCTGATTTGCATAGTTGATAAATTAAGATCTAGCTTCCCGGCCTTACTTGTAATTATTCATGTTAGGCCTTTTATTTTATTGGTATTAATAAAAAAAATGTTAGACACTCAGTTTAGTGATAACAAAAATAGAAAGAAAAGATATATGCACTTGTAATGGATATCTTATTGTTTGACATATGTTACGAGGCCAGTGGCAGAGCTATAAAATTCACCTACAAATTTGGTAGAACTTGATAATTTAGGTCTAAACTTTGTATTTGTATATTCTGTATAAATAATCAAACAAGAACTCCGTAAGTTGCATTTTATAGAATCCATAAACCACAAGGGACCTAATTATATAAAAAATTATCACACCAACCAAAATTTCTTATAACGACAAAAAGGATCGACTCAAGAACCAATTTTATCTTAAGCTTAGTCATGTTCAAGGGTTTCTACTTTCTATTGTCCAAAAAATGTTTGCAAGTTTCCCAAAATCTTTTCCTCTCTCTTATACTGTAGTAAGCTAGTCAAATTATATCACATAAAAGACTATGATTTCAAATAAGTTCAAATTTTAACTATATGAGCTGATTCTCAAATGATGAAAAATCATACTGCAGGATAGAAATAAAGAGTAGTAGCATAATTAAATCTGTGCAGAAATAGGGGAAAATACAGAAGGAAAGACAAAAGGTCTTAAATAGTTATGTCTTGGGATTATTACGACATAAGTAGCAGTAGTTCAGTTTCTCTGTTATATTTTGCATTATTCACTGCCACTGACACTTACTCATTCAATCTCACTTTGATACATCACCCTCTTCGATTTTAGGATTTCTTTTCACTGACTTAAAACGGACAAAATTAAATTACTCTCTATCATACACAACTCATAACCAAGATGAGACAAATTTTAAGACACAACATTCAATAAGTACTGCTCTTTGGAAAGCAAAGCAAACTAGTGGCTATGGCCCAAAAGAAAGAGAGGTTGGAACACTCATAGAAATAACTTTAAGCTGACATTAATTTTCTCACTTTTCTAAATATTAAAATTTCTAGCTCCGTTACTAACTTCATATGTTCCTGGATCTACAAGTCAATCATGAAGAACTGAAAGGGGGCTCTCTTTTTTCCTATAGTTTTTCAAGGATGCAATAAAGCACACCACCTACTACTTTATGGAAAGACATATGATATAGACCTAGAAATAATTGAAACATTTGTTAGTTGGATTTGTACGAAAAGAGTCTTGAGTTTACTTGAGGGTAAAGAAAAGTGCTGTCATTTCCAAATTGGGTTAACATGTGAGCCATAAAACAATGTTTTGTTGGATTTTTGGGGCATGCGTGACTGCCGTACTATTATTCCTTTTAACAAAAAAACACTCGTCTTTCTTATTTTGTTCCTGTTTATGGCCATAATACTATAGCTTTACCCCCAACTTTGTGCTTTTGTACATCACTTTTATCTCTTCTTTCTTGTTTGTCTCGTCTTTTCCTATAATTGGAGCGAGGAACACTTGTAAACTTTGAGTATTCCATTTAAAACCAACTCTTAAGACGTTTCGTAGAGCAGCTCTCTACAACCAGGACGTAAACATTATTCAAGCAACAAGGTATTTTGCTTGTATGGGTACAAACACCCCTATCCATGTTCCCTATCACAATCCTGTTTTGAGTCCTCATCACTGACCAAAGTCATGGGGACAAACATACATCCCATGACAAATATTCTTCTCGTGGTGCATTGACAAAAATATCACAAACTTATTAACAAGCATTACCGATGTAAATAAATATCTATTAGGAATTTCAAGAAATCAGAGACAAACAACAAAGAACCATATCATTTCAAAAGTACTTGGTCAGAAATCGAAATCAATATAAAGCAGGATGTCACAATAGCAAGGTTCCAAGAAGATTGATGTAGCAAATATCTAGATCTATGAAAAATTAATGTTAATTTTGAAGAAAAAAAAACTGCAAAATCTATTTAAAGAAAAGTAGAAATTATTGGGTAAAGCAAAAACCAGGAGATAAAGTTCAAACTGGAAAAAGTCGTCTAAGAGGCAGCAAAAACATTGTAATAAGAATTACAACACTCCAATCAGTAAAATAAAATATGCACTATATGCCCTTGTAACATTGACCTGTTTGGTTTTGCAACCAAAAGAAACTAGAAAGCTTTGTTCTCCCAGAATAAATGGGCCAGAACTGATGCAAGGGCCTTCTCTATTAGTAAATTATTAAGTAATTTGTGTATTGGTCCTTCGGAAGCAAATCTTGAATTGATAACTGCATTACGAAGGTTAAGGAAAGCAAGAACACTGTAAAGAAAAAAACATCCAATATGGTAAATGCTAACCGAAGATAAGTTTTCCTTATTCAGAAAATTATACTAAACTAAGTGGATACACAAATATTGAATGACCTGCAAATCAAACAGTGGTTGTTAGGGAGACAAAGTGTAGAAAAGATACTTATACATCAATTTGGGTCCTGTATACCCTCACTGTGTAAACATCAGGACCTGAAATGTATCTTGAGAGCTTGAATGAACCATCGCTTGCATTCAATTTGTTAAGGGAACTCAGATGAATCCCAAACCCACTGGGATGCACAAGGGCAATTCTTCGTAGAGCCGCTTAATGCAAGACCCTCTTTGACCTTCCAGATTATATTTGCAAACCAAATGATCAATCAGAACAGAGTACAAATTTAGAAATGAAGTATGTAAGCCAATATTTTTTGTTTGTTTGAATTGTGAGAAAACTAGAAGTACTTATTGTGCATTTGCTTCCTTCAAACTGGTTGGTTGTAAAATACATCATGAACAATGACTGCAAAGAGAAAAATCCCAAGAAATTTCCTTATTAGCAAACAACACACCTCATGTATCAAACTCATGTATCAGGTAGGCTTATACAGAATTACTTGTTGTACCAACATCTCGTCTACAATCATCAATTCCAAGGTACGAACACTTTGCTGTCCTGTAAACAATGACAAAGACAAAGACCAAGTTAGTAGTTTCATACCTATCCTAACGGATACTACCAACTAAAACTCAAAAGAACTTTACATTCAAAACCTTATGATATTCATTAGGGCTCCTGTGAGTTTTAGTAACAATCTCCAACAAAGAAATGTCAGAAATAGAGCTCAGTGGCTCTCCTTTTAAAGCCAAAGCTTGCTGGGAAAGCATGATATAATGGCTGCACTTTGATGTCACTGGTGTAAAAGCAAGCATACGAAACCATAGTTAAAATAGCGCAAATGGTGGCTTAGGTTTCCATTCTCAACGTATTCGTATACTAAGAAGTAAGAACAAGGATCCTTCAATGCAATATCCTATCAAACGTACCTGCAATTGTTTCAGCACGTGAAATATTACCTCATATTCTTTATGACATATGGAGTGAATGAATTCATCATCAGCAGATCTGCTAAATCTCAAGTATGGCAGAGTTAAATCACCAATCCTGACTTTCACTATGAAAAGTATCACATTATCAAGCTAAGTGGCTCAGACCACTTTTGAAAATTGCATTACAATTACCACTTAAGTTCAAAGATAGCTGAAGTTTGCAAGTTTAACCAACCATGAGTCCATGATGTTGATTTTTTTTCCCATAGACTGGGAGCAGGTGCCAAAGAGGTTATAATTAAGTAAGAAAAGATAGTATATCAGTATGAGTAATGAATTTACCAAGTTCAAGTGATGAACATGTGCCAAAACCTTCAATTCAGCAAGGAATTCTTTTGTTGATTGCATATCCATCTTCTTCGTAGCAGCTTTCTGCATTTTATTGAGACAAGGGAGATTAGAAGCACGAGTAACTTTGACTATGGAAAATAAATGCATGCCAAGTCAAGGCAACTATGTGAATGGTGCAACAGTGACATATTAAAGCAGCTAGAACTAGGTCGATGATCAATCTGAGTAACCGAATAATTGCTAATCATTTCAATCTAACAAGAATAATATAACGAACCTCGCCTCTGAACTCTCCATAGTAAACAGAAGCAAAACCACCTTGGCCAATCTTGTAGGCTGTGCTGAAGTTGTCACTGGCATTAGCGAGTTCATCATATGAAAATTCTACAGATTTATCCACAGCAATCCTCTGGACCCTCTGGAGAAGCACCCTTATTAAGAGGTCCCCCTTCTGAAGAATCCTCAAAATTTGCTTGACCCGAGTCATTTAAAGAAATTACAAGGCTTATTCAAAGGATGAACCAAAACATTGCTTCCACAGAACAGTTGACATACTTTTATCATTAACCAGGATCGATTGCAGGAAGCTTATATTTTTGTAACGAATGGAAAATAGAGTAATATCTCTAACAAGTCATTATGATGAAGATGATGATGATTCCTCATTCCTAAGGCAATAGAAATGAGAAATGAGAAACAAGAAACAGGAATTTCCACCATAGAGTTTGACGGGTAATTAAGCATACATCAGTAAGATTGAAATCAATAAAATTACCAGGAACATGCTTATTACTACTGTGTTTGTAAGATTCCAAGTTAAGAAACAATTTTTCTTCCGTTTTCCTGCCTCTATAAAAGGTAAGATACAGGCAAGACACTAAAAGGACTACCACAAGAACTACTGCAACCCGTATGCCAGCTATTGCTCCACCTGAGATTCCTGTCAATAACACAATGTTTAGTAGATTACAATCACATTCAGAGCGATTTTGATACCTCAGACTTGATAAGTTGAAAACGATGCCACTGTAGCAGTAAAGGCCAACCTTTTGAGCTGTGAAAAGCAAGAAACAACAATTAGCTACCAATATAGCATTCATGAAATGATTAGGAGCTAATTGGGGTTGGAGAATACCTTTACGAAGTTCTTAATGGTGGATAAGTTCCATTTTGATCTGCAATAAATTTCAGAAATCGAGATTTAAAAGAAAACTATAACATCAGCCACCACTTGGCATATATAGTAACAGATATTCAAGTGACAATTCTAAGCTTTGACTTATTTCATACATGTCAAATCATTCGAAAATTCACTATGATTGTAGTATGCAAAATTATTCCTTCCCGATAATATACAATGAGCAGGTTCCCTTTTAATGATTCTGCATACCTTTCTGTAAAACCTCATCCGAATTTGACTAATTGTACTTAAAATATGCAAAGAATATGAGTATAGAAGCCTTGGTAAAGAGATCAATTACCTTTTCCAGGAATGAAAACCAGACCACTTCCCCTGCCAAGATTTTTTTGAGGATTAGTAATGTTGTATTCTTCAGCATTGGGAATGCTGGCCACCATCAGAAACAAGTGACAAAGCAAGTAGACTCTAGCTTTACAAAGATCCTAGAAATTCTACTAACTCCTCTATTTCCTTTATACAGTTCTGTTTACACCAAAAAAATAAAGTCTCCACTCTCCAGGCAGTTCCATTTCACATCATGGACTGATCTGATTTTGTCTTTAAAACACCTTCCATTTCTCTCCCTCCAGACTGACAGTGATTAATATTTTTTTTTGAGGATTAGTAATGTTGTATTCTTCAGCATTGGGAATGCTGGCCACCATCAGAAACAAGTGACAAAGCAAGTAGACTCTAGCTTTACAAAGATCCTAGAAATTCTACTAACTCCTCTATTTCCTTTATACAGTTCTGTTTACACCAAAAAAATAAAGTCTCCACTCTCCAGGCAGTTCCATTTCACATCATGGACTGATCTGATTTTGTCTTTAAAACACCTTCCATTTCTCTCCCTCCAGACTGACCACCATATGCAAGAGGATATTATCCTCCACCATTTTTCTGACTTTTACTTCCCCCTCTTTTCATACAACAACTCATTAGATCGGCTGTATGTTCCGGCATTGTCCACACTGTCTTTGTGAGACTGAAAAACATGTTCCACAATTGGGCAGTGAATTTACAGTGTAGGAACAAGTGATTGTTTGTCTCCCTAGTCTCATTGCACAAAAAACATCTAGTCACCACAACTCTCCCCTTCTTTTGTAACACTTCATGAGTAAGACATGCCTTTCTTACCACTAGCCATATGAAACATTTCACTTGTGTAGAGGCTATGTTCTTCCAGACATTTCTCCATATCTTTAGCTCTTCCTCCTGCATAATGCTATTCTCCCTCTTGTATAACTTATTTACAGTGAAATTTCCTTCTGAACTGTGTCTCCATCTAAGTCTATCAGGCTCCATTATTGTCCCACCAAAAGTATCCACTTCTTTTAGCAGGTCAACTACTCTTTCTACCTCCCAATCATTTAAGTGCCTTCTGAAGTTTAGATTCCAACCCTGGGGGGACCAACAATCAGACGCAACAATTTCAGGGTTGCTAGATAGTAACATGAGATCTGGAAATTTATCCTGCAGTGGTACTTCTCCTATCCAATGCCAAGATTTGCTTCAGGATATAGTCTTCCAACAACTTCTGTGGGACATTAAATTCATTGGCTACTGTAACCAAATTCTGGTCAGTGCAAAGAGGATAAGTTATAAATAGTCCGTAATCTTTTGAAACATGACTATCCCCACAAGAGCACTTCACAATAATATTTACTATAGCATTTGCAGGAACAATTTTAGGATCATAACTGTTAGACTCCTGCAACTTTTCAACTGTTGTAAGGTTCGAACAATAAAGACGAGCGATTCTCGGATAAGTAGTAATAGTTGACCTGCACACCAAACTGATGGCCCATGAATTTCCCATCAACACAGCTACATGAGAAGGGATTATTAACTCTGCTTTGGAATTGAATAATATCTGGATTGGTTATCTGAGGCTTATAACTAAGAGTATTCTTGATGGTGGTTAAAAAAGTACTAGATATAAAAGTTAGGTTTGCGTTAGCATGAAGTTTTTGTGCAATGAGAGAACAAACTCAATTCTACATAAATAAATCCAAAGACTCCGACTCATTTCCCAAACCCCAAACAACTAAATTATAAACGCCAACACAAAATCTCACCTTATATTCCACAGAGGTCTTTGAAGGCTCCAGAAGTCAAATCATGTACAGATCTTGGGCAGTTAGGTTAAACAAAAACAGTGGATATATCTGAGATCTACTTTGCTGCTCAATGTCAGAAGCACTGTCAAAACTCATCACTATGTTATTAAGTAATTTATGTATTGGTCCTTTGGAAACAAAACTTGAATTGATATCTGCATTACGAAGGTCAAGGAAAACAAAAACACCATAAAAAACAAGAACCCAATATAGTAAATGTTAACTAAAGTTTAGTTTTCCTTTTTCTTTGGCCAGAAAAATATACTGAAATAAGTGGATACAGAAATATTGAAGGACCTGCAAATTAACAAGTTTCATTTTCACACTTGGCCTGAAGGGAGAAACATCAAGTCGTGTGAGTAACTAACATATTTGATTGAGATAAAATCTGAAAGAGACCTAACCCTCCCAAGAAATTTGATAACATTACCTTACATCAGAGAATCCACCGCCACCACAACTTGGGGTGGAAGATTAATCGTATTGATGGGATGACTGCCATGGAAGCTCAGACCAGATAGCTTCTGAAGAATGATGCAGTCTCCTTACAGCTCTAGTTTCTGCACGATTGTAGGAATTATGCATGATAGTTCAAACAAGGAGACACTGGGATGCACAAGGGAGGTTCTTTGGCGAGACTCTTACGGAGAATTCAAGACCCTCTTTGGGCTTCCAAAATTATATATGCAAACCAAAAATCAATCATGACAGAGTACAGCTTTAGAAGTATAAAGTATATAAATCAATATTTTTTATTTCTCCGAATTGTGAGAAAACTAGAAGTACTTGAAGAGCATTTGCTTCCTTCAAACTGGTCAGTTGTAAAATACATCACGAACAATGATTGCAAAGAGAAAAATCCCAAGAAATTACCTTATTAGCAAACAGTAGTCAACTCTTTATTACCTGTTGTACCAACATTTTGTCTACCATCATCAATTCCAAGGTACAAACACTTGCCGTCTGGTAAACAATGGCAAGAACAAAGACCAAGTTAGCAGTTTTACACTTATCCTAATGGATGCTACAAACTAAAACTCAAAAGAACTTTACCTAAAAATCTTAGGATATCCATTTTGCTTCCCGTGAGTTTTGGTAACAATTTCCAACAAAGACACGTTAGAAATAGAGCTCAGAGAGCCTCTCCTTTAAAGACAAAACTTGCTGGGAAAGTATGCAATTCATCTTAATGTCTGTATTTGATGTATCTGGTGTAAAGCAAGCATACGAAACCATAGTTAAAATGGCCAGACAAAAAGGAAGCATAAACAGGAGACGAAAGAAACAGGCACATAGCTGGTCCCAATGCCAATAGTAACATATATCTAGTGGAAACTTAAATTAAGTTCAAACTAAGAGTACACAACTTATAGAATAACAAACATAAGAAGAACAGTCAAGTAAATCTCATGGAAAAAAAAAATAAGAGTTGTGATATAAGAATATTCCTTTGGAAAAACAATTATGATACTCGAATGGAGCATCATACTAAAGAAGAGAAACAGTAGTATCAACTTTCATATAAAGCATATGCCCTCGTCATCAAAAGAAGTTAACAAAGGAACCTATAGAATTCATTTAAGAGCTCACCGGTCACTGCCTTTTGAGCAAGCAACACACAAATTTGCAGGTGCAATTGGTCTTAACAATTAAAACTGCATGAAAGCCTTGCCATACTCACTTAATTATGATGTCCTCAGCAGCCCACAAAACATTAACAAAATCAGAAAAGATGAACCATATAATTCTCTATTCTCTTACATGACACAAATCTTTATGATCGAGTGTCTTCATTCAATTTACTACAAATCACAAACTCGTATAATTAAACTACTTAATTTTTGTTTTAAGTTGTAAGAGTGGAGACTTCAAGAATAATTCCACAACATTCCGTTCAATTTCTACGTGGTACCTGAATCGAGGTGTTGAAAACCAACCCCTTAACAATCCTTCTGGAAATCATACAAGATAATGACAGAATTAAACTCCAAATAGCCTCAGGCATTCTCCCTAAAAAGGTAAAAACAAATTCTCGAACATCCTTAACAGACACTGCGAGAATAACAACCTAATTTCTTGAAATTCAATGCCAATATATTCTTAAAAACTATAATTTCTTTATTTTTTCTAAGAATACAAATGTAACTTCAAAAAAACAACAAGTCATTCATTTTTTCTTGAAAAGAAGGCATGCGAGAAATTCAAGACAACCTGACAACATCAAGTTCTCTGAGTTTCTCTTTTTAATTTCTCTTTTTAATGGATAGAAGAAGCAGCTAGATCGGCGGCATAATTGATCGGAGATCATTCCGATGGTAGCGTAAGAAGTTTTCACTTGAGCAGCTGGTCATAGCTTTCTGAACACGCGGAAGTAAAATTAATACAACACGTATTTACTAGTTAATAATTCAAATATAGTACTAATTTTTTGCAAATTTATAATTCTAATATTTCTTTAATTTTTTAATAACTAAAGTCTATTTACAAATCCAAACATAATGGGAAATTTGATATTATCCTATATAATTTAAATTTTAACTTCTCCATTTTTTATAGGTTCATTCAGAATATAAAGTTTATGGTTCAAAATTTGAATCCTTAGTTATAAAATTCTTAATTAATACCTTATACATTTTAAAATTCCAAAATTTTAATATTGTTTTATTTAAATTAAACTAGTAAAATGACTTGCACTTCACACAATAACAAATTAGATATTTTTCATATACTTGAGTATTAACACCATTTTAAATGTGAATATATTTTTTTAATCATCTCAAATACACCACAAAGTAGATACTACCAGATCAAACAATTGTAGAATATGTTATCGGACATTAGTGTCGAAAAGAAATGTTTTATTCTAGTACTTATTTATTTAACGACAAGAGTTTATTCTCATTTTAACTTTTTGACTCAAACTGTTTTTTTTCGTGTGTGCTTTTTGTTTTATTAATACTTTGATTTGCTTAAATCAAAAATCTTTTCGAAACAGACTTTCTATCTCAAATAGATAATGATAAAAATAATGAGCATTCTACCTTCAAACCCCCCACTTAATTGATTTGAATAGATACGTTGTTATTGTAATTGGCTGAATTATTTTCTAGTGCAAATTTGTGTGTGAAAGAAGTTATTACGAAAGATACTTTATACCATCAATTTGTTCAATTTATTGATAATAAAAACAGACTCTAACTTAATTTTGTTTCATTTTAACCCTAAACTCTATTTTGGAGTTGGAAACTAATGATGACAATGTGATGAGATAAAAGATCAGAAAGCGATTGGCACAAACACAACTCAAGAAGTTAGGATTGAATGTTCCTGGCAGGAGGAAGTATTCAGTCGATTCCAGTGGTAAAAAATCCAGTAGAATATGACCAATTTCAGTAGCCAAACCTAAAATTGAAATTTCATTATTTCTTGAACTCCATGGCATGATATCAGACAAAGCTGCAACACCATTACCTTTGGGAAATCTAAATCAGACTATAGCTAATCAGATGCGACGTTCGACTAACTTCACTCTTTCAAGCACAAGACATGGAACAATCCGCATAAGCTAAATCAAAAAAATTATTCAACTGGTGAAACTTTTCACTCTAAAACCAAAGGAAATTACTCCAAGAATATATATATCTCAACATTTTTAAAAAAGGGAGTACATTTGCAATACACTTGGCTGACACTGCAAAACATCATCAGCTACCATTATTGACAGTAAGTGGAGTCTTCGCCACAAGAACAAAGCCTGATAGAGAGGGAGTTCAAGTAGTTACAATTTGTATATGATAATATCAGCACACGGTTAACAAAATTGAATTCTCCAAGACTATAAAAGAAATAGTAGTTTTGGAAAGATAAAAAAAAAATGCTACTTTTTTCCATAAGCCCTGAAGCGAGACGCAAAACATGCTGAGCGTTTCGCATTGCTTAATGTGCACTTCAGTGTCATCAAGGCTCTAAGACATACTTTCCTTACCAATAAGCGTCTCCAGGAGAAGCCACACTAAACAATTGATATTTCACTTTACCGTAATTTTTTCCACTTCTTTGTCCATATATTTGTTATTCATGCTTATTATAATAAGTCTTGGACTAAACAGTAAACATTTATATTTGTACTTCTTCTCCATTTGTGCTTTTTAAAGCTCGCACTTTTTTCCATTAAAGCTCACGCTTTATTTGCGCTTACAGCCCCAACAGAGCTTGGAGCCTTTTTGCGTTTTTCGCTTGTGATAACACTGAACTGACCAGAAGACCCAACCATCATAACTATAGGTTAGGGAGGTAAGGGGACGGATTAGTGTACTTCCCTCTGGTAAAGCACTTATCTTCCCTTGTATGTTGTTTGGTGTGATCAAAAGAAAGCAAAACAAACTTTACTTTCTATACAGTTCTTAATAAATTAGGAAACCTGACTAGAATAATAACCTCATTTTGACAAACCTCATTCACTATTACCTATTGACCCACCTGAATCATCCTCTTCAATTGTTCAACCCAGCAAACAAATAAACAGACACTACATGATTTCAAATTCGTGCTCAGAGATGATCTGGTGCTTTAAGACAAAAGAAGAAGAAAATGCATAACATAACATCAAACTAGTCAATACCCAAACAGATTAAGCTAATCCCATTTCAAAACCTTATCAACTAGTGCTATTTGGGGTAGATATTAAGTGATACCAAAGATGAAGCCAATCTTGCAATTTTAAGTCTTTCTGGCACATGTGGTTATGTAATAGCACATTATTTGTGTTAAAAGCATCAGTTGTAGTCAAACTTTGAACAGAATGTTTAATTGGGTGATATTAACACCATTACTATCAGCTGTAATATGGTCTTTCTCATGTAAAAAAGGGTAAAGGAGAAGACTTGAAACTTCTAAATCGGTTGAAACTAGGGGTTTGCCAACAATAAGAAACAGAGACAATCGCAGAGGGAAGGACATTAGAAAAGGAAAAAGAAGAAAAACTAGAACAGGGGTCAAAGGTGCTCATGACAGTAGGGAAAGAAGGGAGGGCGCATCCGTCAAAAGCTAAGTTTTGGGAAGGGTAGCAAGGAAGGAAGCAACCTTCATTTGGAAGAGCCAAAAAGGAGGCAACAGTAGCTCAATGTGGAGGGCAGAACAAATGGGAGGCAATGGAAAGGTTATCAGAAAGGAGCAACCATTCGGTTGGAGGGAAGGGCGGTTAGGGTACCACCAACTACGGAAAGGAAATGCAGAGAAGGATAGAAGCAGCAACTACAAGGTCTCAGGTAAAGAAAGGAAGAAGCTCCTTTTACTTAAACATTATACAAACTCTGACAACTTTCTTTTCTACTTTGAAATGGAAAAATCCATTTCTAAAAAAGATAGAGTGAATGATGAAAATAGGGAATTAGGAACCGCTAAGGAAAGGGGGTTGGATAAATAGACAACAAGGTCTCAGGTAAAGAAAGGAAGAAGCTCCTTTACTTAAACATTATACAAACTCTGACAACTTTCTTTTCTACTTTTGAAATGGAAAAATCCATTTCTAAAAAAGATAGAGTGAATGATGAAAATAGGGAATTAGGAACCGCTAAGGAAAGGGGGTTGGATAAATAGACAACAAGGTCTCAGGTAAAGAAAGGAAAAAGCTCCTTTTACTTGAACATTATACAAACTCTGACAACTTTCTTTTCTACTTTGAAATGGAAAAATCTATTTCTAAAAAAGATAAAGTGAACAAGAAAAATAGGGAATTAGGAACTGCTAAGGGAAGGGGGTTGGATAAATAGTTGGGAGTGAAATAGCTTTTTGAGGATAGAGAGACTTAAACCCTCATGATTTTAAAGTTTTATAATATAATTGCATGTCTCTCTCAAATTTTAGGTTTCTTATGTGTTGATATACCCCTCTTGTGTTTCATCTGATAGACTCCCAACAGATATTCCTAAAAAGAATAATGCTCAAATTGCACAAACCTAGCTAAACAGTTCCTCCTTTTAAATCTAATTTCAAATAAACCCCAAAAAGCATATTTCTAAAACCTACTTGACGTTCTCATTATAGACTGCCACCAAAGTTTCCACTACATCCCGTTTTATTTTCCCACTAGGAGAGGGAGGGAATGGATAAAATCTCGTCAAGTGCTTAAAACATCAAATGGCATTCATTTTCCTTCCCAAAGTTAACTCAACTCTTACTTGATATCACTTGTTTCAATTAACCCTTAAGCATCGTCTTCAACATTTAGTACTCGAAGATATCACACAAACACAACCTACATACCATCCTACACCTTGTACGACTTCCATACGTCACCTTCTTCCATAATCAACCAAACACCGCAAAAAAAAAAACATTTCCTCCAAACCCACTGCACTTTTAAAGCAAGTGGGGACACTACATCTTCAGATTACATGTCTACAAGTCTTTACTGAAAAGGAACCAAAGAACCACCAATTCAAGACAAATGTGATAACTCCCCAACAATTGTGATTGAATAGAAGTTCTAAATTCCTCCTAAATCAGAACACCAGCTATCCAGCTCAAATTACTATCTATAGGAAACAATGAGGACTTAGAGAACTCCGAATGTGCCTTGAAAGCAAATTACTTATCAGTATCGGAGGAAATAGGTCCACATAAAACATAGTACAAAAGCAATGATAACGATGGCATACACGGTTGAATGATAAATAAACTGTTATGATAAAACCCCTAAAATTGAATCCCAATACCTTCATTTGGGGGAATATTAGTAGCTCAGTTCGTGCCAATTATTATTATAAAAAAAAATACCTTCATTTCTGGTAGCCACCACCAATAGCATTCTCATCCTCTTCAACCTTAGCAGTCAAATAAGGCTTAGGAAAATCGTTGACATCAAACTTGTACTCCATCCTCATCTTCTCAACATCAGCTTTGGTGAGGAAGGTGCGCTTGATTGGAGGACGGTTACGCCTCTGGTCACGAGAATAATAATTGATATCGAAGACGGTTTCAGGATCGGATGTGGGGATGATGGCCTGAGATTGGGTAGTGGCGGGACAGAAGATTCTGTACTCTGTTGCCTTGGGTACAGAGCCTAAATACTCGGGGCTTGTTTGAGGTCCGGTGAACTCCCATGGCTTCTTCATGAACCGTTTTAGGGTTTGGATCATCGATTTCCCTGACGAAGCCATTGAAGAAATTTGCTCAATGAGATCTGTTTGATTTTGCGGTTTAATGTTATGTCTTGAAATTGGGTAGGGATAATTGGACCTAAATCGCCTTGCTTATTTTTGTTTCTCAAATGTTTTATTTAAATTTTAAACCTTTTTCTTATGAGTAATACACATAAATTGAAAAAGAAAAAAAAAAGGTGCTAGAAAATTCTAATTTGAAAATTTATCAACTACTCCCTCGGTTCATTTTTAGTTTTCATGATAAGCAGAGGCGTATCTAAAGGGGGGTCACCGGGTTCACGTGAACCCATGGTCTCCTCCCGAAATCATATATAGTAGTGTTATAATTTTAAGAAAACATTGAAATATAGATGCGTGAACCCACACTTCAAGTATCACATAATGGGATTATGACTAGGTGCACCTCTCTCTGTGAGGTTAGAAAGTTGAATTTTATATTTATCTTGTTTTATTTTTCTTTCTAAAATTAGATAACAGTTCTCTAAGTGGTAATTGGTATATAAGAATTAATTTTAGACCTAGAATTTTAAAATTTTAACGATTTTTAGTAGTAAAAATCTAAATGTCTAACCGATCAAATTTATATCATAGATCAACCTTTACATAACAGTGCACCCATCATCTCAAAATCCTGGATACGCCTCTGATGATAAGGTTCGTAATCTTAATAAATATTATTTGACCAATAAATCCCTTATTAATTCTTATCTTTATTTACATTAGTGCCTCTTAATTCTAGAATAATTTATATTAGTACAAAGTTGGAAAAGATAATTAATTTTCTCTTAATTATATAAATTGACAGCTATTTTAGAACAAGTATTTTTAAAATGTATGAAAACTAAAGAGAAACAGAAGGAATAGCAAATTTCTAAAAGAAAAAGTTAGGATGTTCGAACAACTTAACACGCATGAATAAGAGTCTGTTTGGATTGGCTTAAAAATAGTTTTTAAGTCAAAAATACAAAATCAAATTGAAATAATTTTTAAGTTAAAAAAAAAGTAGGAGGAGACTTACTTTTGGTTTTTAAGTTATTTTTAACATTGTCAAACACTTTCTAACTAATTTTAAGTCATTTTTTGAGTTATTTTAAGTTATTTTTATATTTGTCAAACACTTCCAAAATCAAAAATTTATTTAAAAGTAGGTTTGACTAACTTTTAAGCAAATTCAAACACCCTCTAAATATTCATGTAGCATTGGATTGTATGTCTACTTAAATTGACTTATTTAAGTTTGTTTAATTGAAAATAAAGTTTAAGCATTTTTGTAGTATTTTAAATAAATTTAAAAATGGTTTTAAGTTTTTTTTAAAAAGAGTAAGTGAAAAATTATAAGTTAAACTTCATAATTTAAAAGCGATAATATTAGAAAGGAAAAATTGTGTATTATAGCAAATCATTAATTCAAAATAAATGTTATGGCTGCAGTTTCATTTAATTTCGATTCAGAGCAAACACATTGTCATTCGTCTCTCCCCCCTAAATCTCACTCACCACTCTCAGTTCTCTCTCTCACTTTATACAAACACAAATGTATAAATTGTGTTTGTGTTTATATAAAGCGAGAGAGTATATACAAATACATATCTCTCCGTCCTATACACTTATGATTATACTAATACAAATCTTCCTCTGCCCAATTCTATTTTGCCAATCTCTCTTGCTCGCTTTATACAAACACAAATTATACAAAGTATTTGTATAATTTGTGTTTGTATAAAGCGAGGGAGACATTTAATATACAAACATTCAATTGTATATTAACATGATACAATTGTATACGATTCAGATTTTATGCAGATATACACATACACAATCATTGATACATATACATAGAAGTTACATATATACAATTATCTAACCGATATACATATACAATTCACCTCTTTCCACTCTCTGCCTCTCTTGCTCGCCTCTCTCCTCTCTCATAATCTCGCTCGCCACTCTAGCCTAACACAAGAACATATACATATACAAACACAATTTTTATAGACACAAACACCCGATTCATATAAATCACCGCGATGTATACAAATTAGATGCTCCATAGCAACATAGCAAATAGCAAAATTATAGCTATAGAGCGTAAATATGATTTTATGTTTGCTATTCCTAAAAGTTTCTCTATTAGAAATGAGGTTCTCCGAAATAAAATACAAGTAGCATTAATTTTAGACAACATGAGATAAGCGAGATAAGATGCTCTAGACATGGGAAAAGAAAATGCACAAATGAAAAGCAGATTGAAATGATTTGTGTGTATGATTAACGAAGAGAATTGCTTTTACTTTATTTTTAATATTTTAGGGATAAGGGTTTGAAAAATACCTCAACTTTGGTCGGATTTGTTGTTGCGATACTAAACTTTCATGAGGACCTATTACCTCCCTAGATTATTTAATACCGCATTTTAAACATATATATTTGCTCACGTGGACATAAAAAATAATGCAAAATTATAAATAGTAATGTGTCCACGTGGCACATATATACCTTTAAAATACACTATTAAATAGTTCAGGGGGTAAAAAATACGGTATTAAATAGTCTAGGGAGGTAATAGGTCCT